GAGAGAGAGAGAGAGAGAGAGAGGAGAGAGAGAGTGAGAGAGAGAGGGAGAGAGAGGGAGAGGGAGAGAGAGAGGTAGAGGGAGGGAGAGAGAAAGAGAGGAGGGAGGGAGAGAAGAGGAGAAATAATTAAAAGTTGACAAAATAGAGAGAGAGTGAGAGGGGGAGGGAGGGAGGGGGATGATAAATAAGGGACTATTATAAAATAAAGGCTCTTGTGTTTGTCATCTGTTTTCCCTTTAATTCATTAATAAAGTGTTACCTAATAATTGGTATGTCATGCAGATTCGATTATCCCATTCCAGAGACCAATATCCCTAATGGCCTCCCCTCATGTTTGTCTATTATGTAACCTTCATTTTGTGTATGTCTAGCAATCCAATTACTGTCCTTTATCCCTTGCTATACAAGTACAGTGTACATCCACCTGTGTCTGTATGCGCAACCTTCCAATAGCTACAATGTCTGAGCTCAATGCCTTTTCTGGATTAGCCAACATTTAGTGTGTAGCATTACTATATGTCTGACTATTTAATTATTGATTGACATATCTATCCATGCAGACGTGCATTGCAAAGATTGTTTAGTCGTTATTATTGGGTTATGGCTCCATTAGTCTAATACTGTATGTCACGCGAGTGGCTCATAAGGCTTGTCACTATATACTGTGTGTGCTGTGGAGATGTAATTGATCATTCACTTGTAATGTTTTTGAGTTTTCCTTATTTGTTTCACTTTTACGTGTCCATTTGTGTTTAGCTCTTGTTTATTTGCTTATTTGGGTCTTGCAATTCACAATTTATTCTAATTTTCAACTACAAAATGTTATTAACTTATTATTCCCTCTCCCTCCCTCCCTCCCCCCTCTCAACCTCCCTCCCTCTCTCTCTCTCCCTCTCTCTCTGTCTAGTTTGTGCTGAGAATCACATCAGGTCATGGACGATCACTAGGTTCAGAGGACGCATATCAACTCAACCTGGCTCAACTCCTATTGCCTCGTTTAAAGTACTCTCACTTGAAGGAGCTCACTCGCTCTACTACCCAGTAAACTCTATTGGTAAGGAAAACACACACACACATCGTACATGTACATGTGTGTATACACACTCCTTCCTTTTTAATATTTTTTTATTTGAGTGGGGGTATAATCATTGTTTTGGTGGGGAATACCAGGATTGTGTCTTTTAAGGCATTTGTTTGTTAAATTTTATTAAAATTAGTTTGAACTGAGAGAGGAAAGAGAAGCTGCTACCATTTGGGGTACTTATTTATCTCTCGCTAAACCTTATCATCTCTCTCCATTTCCTTTTTTCTAATTGATCAACCCCCTCTCATTCTTTTACACGTACATGCTGTACATGCATCACCTAATTCTTTGATTTCTGTTTCTTCCCCATCAGGTCCTTATGGTGAAGGAGATGATGAGCAAGTGTTTGTCCAGAGAGTCATACCAGACTCTGACACGATATTTGTACGTTTATCATCAACTGGTGAAAGGTGAAGCTATATACACTATACATATATAGCCAATAATGAAAGGAATTAAAGGACCAAAAGGATGTACATGTACAGTGTAGTATAAAATGATATTATTCTGATTGTTATCATTGTTTGTGTAGGTTTGTGTGTGTCTATTATTAAGTTGGAGGGAATTGGGGACTGTTACATTCGTCATTGTGGCTTAATACAGTGACAGTGTTTTTTGGGAGCTCCTTCTATTTGATTATAATAAATATAGCGGTCCTTTAGGATAATAAACAATAGAAATGAATAGGGATTGTACAATTATGCAAGTGTGCATCATTTCTATAGAGTATGAGTGTGACGATAATTCACATACAGTGAACATAATTATAATTATAATTGCGTTATAATACTGAACTCTATTTCCCTTTGCTTGTACTCCATTACATGTAATATGATTCTGTTAATACATACAGTGCATGTGACAGTGCTTCAGTATAATCATGTGTTATATTCCATCGCATAAATCTTATCAATCATCCTTCCTGTACTGCAAAGTGCATGCATGTATATTACTTGTATAGTCTCACCCTAATACATGTGACAGTGTCTCGGTATATCATAATTATGTTATATTCCATTGCCTATAATGTACTAATCTTATCAATCAGGATCACTCTTCCTCTTGTACAGTTGCATACCTGTATATCACAATGTTGCATCTCCAGATGTACTTTTAGTCATTTCTGCTGATTGTATGATTTTTTGTTTTCTTCTTTTCTCAGTAATGGATTGGCCTAACTAATCATTAAAGATGGAATGAGTAGTCTACATGTCAGAGTGTACATTATTTTGAGCTGCGTGTCCATGTACAGTGTACATGGTGTACATGAATGCTGTTTTGTCATGCGTCTAGTCTTTGTGTCTTCCTACAGCTAATGTGTGTGGATTAGATTTTACCAAAATGAGCAAGATTTATTTAATTTTTATTTATTTACTTCCATGCACATTTAGCAGATAAATACTAAAAAAAAGATAAATACTAAAGCTTATTATAAATACAGTCGGCAAAATTATCATTGTGCATGTACATGCATGCTTGTTAGAAGAATTTGCATGTGTGTATATGTTTGTTTGTGTTGATTGTGTTGTGTTTGTGTCCATATCTTGTTGACTTGTGTCACGCTGGAGAGTCTTAAAAGGGATTGTGTTTGCCTTGTATCCATGGCAGCCAATCCTATTTCAATTATTTGGATTTGGAAAGCCAGCCAAGTACGATATTATGGTGTAGGATATATTGGGTATTGTTTTTTCTAGCTTTCTCTCCCTTTCTCACCTTTGAAATATTTTGATTAAGTTAAACAATTAGTTATTTTGCTTTTGAGTCATTGAAGTCTCTCATTTTTATCTAATAACGAGTCACAAGCAACAATGAGATCTAATTAACGAATCGAAGGGATGGAGTTGCTAATAGAGTTATGCGTGCATGTGCCGAGCTTGTGATACATGGAATATAAATGGATTATACACTTTGCTCTTGGCTTCTCGCCTCTGTCTCTTGCTGCCCCTTTTCTTGTTTTTTTTAATGCCTTGCTCCTTCACTCTCTCTCCCTCTTTCTCTCTCTCTCTCTCTCTCTCTCTCTCTCTCTCTCTCTCCCTCTCTCTCTCTCCTCCAGGGTGTGTGAGATTAATTCTGTTGATGGTACCAATATTACTACATATTGTGTTCACGAGTGCGAGGCCATCAATCGTGTTGGGATGCGCTCAAGACGATTCATATTCACTGGCCATGTCAACGGTAGTGTTCAGGTACTACATTATACACAGTAGATATACATGTACATGTACATGTATGGGAGGCTTTGTTAAACTACATGTACAATGTACATAAATACTGTATGCTATATTATGTTCTATATGATATATTTATCTGTACATGTACATGTATATGTATTATTATTATTATTATTATTTGGTATCTCTACATTGTCTATTACGTACATGTACATGTACTACATGTACATATGTATAATTACATGTACATGTATGTATGCATGTGTACTGTTTTTATGTATCGTACAGCTTCAGTACATTCCAATATTAATGTGAACTTTGAGATGTTATCATTATTGCTATTATTGTTATTAAATAATAATAATTGATTATTATTTGATTATTTATTTATTTGCCCTGCGATTGTTATTCCTTTATTGTTGCTCCTTGCCTTGCGGGTAAGTCTGGGCCCTCTGTCTCAACACAGACATGTGGTCATGGACATACCAACATCAATTGCATTGCAATAATTATAAACTGATTAGTATTATACTTGAACATGTGGCATTAGAAGAGGGCAGTGGGCATACAAACAAGTCAGAAATTTTATTTTATTAATGACTCCTGTATCATTGCTTTCCATTGTGCGTATGTAAATGTTATTTCTCAATCAATTGCTTTATATATAATGAGCGGTGTTCCTTCCTCCTTTTTGGACTAATTGATATCCAAAGGCTCATTTTTGATCTTGTTACCAAGGTGTGTCTCTTTGGTAACAGCTGGTTGTCATGGCAAGTTGCTAGTGAACCCATTCATCATTGCTGTTGTGACTCTTTACAAATTGTTGCCAGGAGGATTGGGTTTCTTTTGATTTGCTAATGATAATGAGAGAGCTGTAAACAATATGCTTGCTTGTGGTATTTATTTTATATAAGACGTGTAGAAAGTATCACTGTTTGTGTCCCTCTAAGATCTTTTACATCCAAAGCAATCCTACAACTTAGCAGTGATGGCTTGTAAGTCTTCTGGTATATGAGTGGCTATAGAATCATCCTGTGTACATGTACAGCGTATCTTTAAGTATCGGGTGAGTTACTCTCTTCTCTTTTCTAGTTGTGGGACTTGACTACAGCATTGGAGATATACCACAAGCTACCACCAGGTACCAGTAATGCAGTACATATTCATTTTTGACATTTGACAATAATAGCTAAGCAAATAATATTCAATTAAAAACAGCACCAGTATAATAATATGAGCCATTATTCCATATATACACAAAGATAAGCAGACACAGGGAGATGTGTTAAATTGAATATTTATAAGCAGTGTGACTTATATCATTGGCAGTGGCTTTGGCTAATGATCACACAATAGCACCTGCATGTACTCAATTCTTAATTGTCCTTTTTAGATCAAGAGAAGAAGACACTGAGTCAGCAAGAGCTGTTACATTTGTTAAAGAACTGTGATCTGGCCGGTGCCTCTCGCTCCAGTAGTGTCATGCCCTCTCGGACTCCGTCTCCCTCCCCCTCTCTCCTCAGTATAATGTGTCCAGGATATAAGCCAGTCCCAGCTCCCGTGAGTCATATGGGCACGCCTATATCAACTCCTCTCATGAGACACAATCAAGGGCCAGAAGAACAAGACCTCCTCCTTCCACTTTCTGTTGTAGACGGCAGACAGAATATACGGTCTTCAGGTGTCTTTAGTGGTTCTACTCTTTCTCTTTCCTCTCCCGGCGTGGCTGAAGAGCCTCGGCCATTTGAAGAGGTACATGTGCCAGCTGTTAATAATGATAATAATAATAATGAAGAGGTCATTGGGCAAAGAGATGGAGACGACAAAGACGATAAAGGGACTGATGAAGAATCTCTTGGTTTTAGACGTGTCCTCTCAGATGCCACTGCTAGATACTCTTCTTCCTCTTCGTCTACAACCAGCTCACGTCCGCGTAGTCAGGACTCTACCCTTGATGGGAGTGATGGTGGGGCAAGATTAGTGATGAATAGCTCCAGTGTGTCTTCTATTGATTCTGATAATACACTTGTACCTAGCAGACCTTCATCTAGACTCTCTCCTGATGGGATTGCTAGTGAATCATCATAAAAATACTAACAATTTTATTATTATTATTATTATTATTTTAAATTAAAAATAATGAGACAATCATCATTACCTTATTGTGACTTATTGTTTTTAACACTCTTTAATTGAACGCCCACGTTTATTGGTGGGTGTTAGTTTCTATAAATACTGAGTGACCATCGTGGTTGTTATCATAAACTTTGAGGTTCTTCAATGCCAATGGCGAGTTTCTTTGTGCTATGGCTAGTTTTTGTGCTGCATGCTTCCTCGGCAAGTGAGCCTGCTCCCTGCAACTTCGAGTCCAGTCTGAGAGAAAGGACACTTCTCATTGGTAGGGGGCTTCTCAACAGGTTGGGTATGGAAAACCCTCCGCCTCCACCAGCATCAAGGAACTTCTCTCAGGAAAGGGCAGCGGACTTTAGAGCCGTACAGGCTCTGGGGAATATGCGTCAGGCAGAGGGAAAGCCACCGTGCTTCGATCGAAATGCTTTCTCTACTACAAATTTTGCTACCTTCCCGGTTAAAGCCATCTCTTTACCCTACCTCTATTCACTGCAAAGTAAACATCACATATTATTCTTGATTTTAACATTATCTATCATTCTTTTACATAGTCTATGATCCGTATAAATTTTTTGGTAAGAAGAAAAGGCAAGTGCATCCTCAGTCATCTGCAGTCCCTCCATTCAGCTACCAGTTCACATTCCCCATCAACACCACCTCTGAGGGCAGGGAGTTCTTTTCAAGTGAGCTCATCCTCTTTCGAAAAGTTTCTGAAAGAGGGAGACATTTGTTCAAGAACTTTGAGACGATACAACTCAACTACATTTTCCCCGTTCGCGTAATTTACAAGGGTTTCGTAAGGAGAGAGACAAGAAGGCGACACATTGAAACTAGAGTTGTAGATGCTACTACTGATGGCTACATTAGATTCGATACCACTCGCTCCGTATTCAAATGGCAAGAGATGAACCCTACAGAATCCACTGGATTAATTACATTTGAGATCAAGATACAGACTCCTACTCTCACTAGTACAGGTCACCCCCTCCCTCCCGCCATTGAGTTCAGCACCACAGAAATAGGAAGCTCCCAGTTTGTGATGAATTTTGCAAGACCAGAGAATATACCAGATGCCTCAAGATCGACTCGTAGGGCAAAGCGTCAGAGTCAGGTAGCATCGGCAACAATACCAAAACTTGATACGAGTTTCTGTTTTCCTCGACCAAAAGAACCGAACTGTTGCGTCAGGACCCTCACTATTAATTTTATGCGAGACCTAGGCGTCAATTACAGCTTTATATTATTCCCGGCTGAATATGATTCTAATTACTGCACTGGATTGTGTCCAAACTTCTGGCCCTCTGCAAGCAATTCAACTCTTTTCTTGCAAGGATTCAAACAGACGAATCCAACGTTTGCAGCCCAGCCTTGCTGTTCACCTGAAGACCTTGGCCCTCTCTCTATGATGTTTTTCTCCAATGGTGAACTGGAAATAGTAGAAGTAGAAGACATGATAATCACTTCTTGCATTTGCAGATGAAAATGTATAGGGATTCATGAAAGAATTTTATTGCATCTTTAATAATTATTAATTAATCAATAATTTAATTAATCGTCGCATTGTCATCATGTTGTTTTATTTTAACTCCTAGTCGCATTTAATTAAAAATAAAATGGCGGAAAAGTATCTGAAAGTTTGCGGAGGTTTGTGTCAAGTTCTAAACAGTTTTGAAGGTTTTCTATAATATTTATAGAGCCTTCAATCCCAGGGCTAGCTTTGCCCAAAGCTTTTGAAGAACTTGAGAAGCAGTTTGACTGCGTGGCTAACGTGTGTCGACTGAAAGGATCCCACGAGTCCCAGACGACTGGCATATTGCTCGTCTGTCACGAGCTACAGCGTCTCTTAAGACTATCCTTTGTTGGTAAAAGACTTTTATTTTATGTACTAGCATCATTAATTTTGTGCTTAATTAATTGTGGGTTTGGCCAAAGATTGCATGTATTAATATTTTTATTTTTTCTCTTGTACGATAACAGAAAATGGAATATTAGCAAGTCGTATCGAGATTCTCTCTCGCTATCAAGATGACTGCATCAAAAAAATGGGTCAGTCTTGACTTTTTGACTGTTGTGTACTTCCGCATCTAGCATGAATCGAAATTACATTATTGAAATCTCTTTGTTGAGTAGCACAATGGGTGCTGATGCTATCTAGGGGTTGGTTCCAAAATAACTATGGACATAATAATACAATGCAAATGATTTAGTCCTGTCTTAAAAAGTTGTAATTAGTCATTACAGATTCATGGAAAAGCATATGATATTATTATTATTATTATTATTATTATTATTATTATTATCATTATTTATTAGAGAAACGTCTTAAAGAATTTGAAACCGAACAAAAGGTCACACGGCGTTACATACGAGCCTTGAGGAAGAGGCAATACAGTGAGTATGGTGGTGGTGTGAGTCTGTTATTTTGTCTAAGGTCTCATTGATGTCTTTGTACAGACAAAGACATCACATACCACCCAACCAACCCACACACTAATATCACATTAATGCTTTACAGATTAAAGCATTAATACTGTACTGATTAATACTATAACTGATTAATACTCTACTGATTGACAAGAGAGACAGCGGGGAGAGAGGGAAGGAGACAGCCATCAGACATAGACAGACAGACAAGGAGACTATAGCAATGAAGCCGTATTTTTAGACAATTTTTTCTTTTATATTGCGGAGAGACTATTATGTATTATGTATTATTATTAATATAAGAATATGAGAAGGTGAAGACAAGCAAAGGCAGTGAGTGGTGGATGGTTGATGTCACCTCTAGTGACTACGACTCTCTCTGTGCCCTCTCAAGAGTAAGTCCTGTCTGTTGTCTGAGTATTGTCTGTTACTGGTTAGTGTCTGTGTGTGAGTGCTTTCATGATTTCATTTCTTTGGAGTCTGTTATGTCTATTAACTAATGGCAACCTATACAATATTAACATTATGAAGGAATGGAGAAATTGTCAACTCTCTTATGTATATATGTGATCCTTTATGTGTGTCCCATTACTCCCATACTCCCATGTGTATCGTTTACTCATTCATGAGCTTTGTAATGTATGGCTTTTGTTGTTAAAAATTTTAACCTGTTGTAGCCTCAAAGATCTATAGCAATTATTTTTATTATTTTGATTTTAAATTACATTTGCTTACTATTGAAGCTTGTGTGATTTTTGTATGCTCCGCTAGCATTTGTTATTACTAATAGACATTAATTTTATTAGTTCTTATTGTCTGTTTGTTATTATTGTGTAGATGAATGGCAATCCAAGCCTTGAATTTATGCTAAGACTCAATCAACTTTTATTAGATTTTGTCAAAGACCCTTACACTAATGAGTAAGTACTAAATAAAGAATAGCACTGTGTATTAATATTGTATTACGAATGCTTTAACATTGTATTAATATATCATATTTGTACAGGTTGCTTCTTCCTCCAATGGGCAGTGAAGAGAGAGCAGAGGTATGTTGTTTAGTCTTTCACTGATGAGTACATCTGTCAGTAACACACACAAACACACACACACACACACACAGTAGTTACTAGTTATACTCTAATACATAAACTCTCTCTATACCTTTTATTTTTAATTTTTCCTATTATATCTAGCTCTCCAAGCTGGCTTCTCTCTATAAGCTGAGGTGTAGATTCAATAAGTCTACACAGGTGGCCACTTCTACACTAATCAAAGCAAGGTGGTTTAGTGGTGGCTTTGAGGGGAGGGAATCTACATGTAGTCCACCAGGAGTGGTATTGGATATCCCACCACTCCTTTATATATTATAGTAATAGTATAGAGCTTGTGTCTAATGGGCATCATTTGTATGTACATCTACATTATGAAGTCAAGCTGTTGCATTTACTAATTTTATAATTATAAACTACCTATTTGCTTTCATGATTATTGTATCATATATATTAGAGACTATGTATAGTATACTACAGTCTCTAATATCTATGATTGAATTGATGTTCATTTTTATGTGTATATTAATTGTCACAGGCAGACTTGTGTGCCAGCCTCTGGTGAAGTTGATTTGATACTCAATACATTTACTAAGTAAGTGAAGGAGAGGTGTAGCCTCTATCCTGATTCCTTCTCCCTTTCTGTATATATAGAAAGATGAGAGATGGACCAGAGTCTGATACAGAAGCAGCAAAGGAAGGAGGAGAGAAAAGTGGAGGTACAGTACATGTACATGTACTTATAGTTTACTATGAGAATGTTTATCACACACTCCAAGGGGGCACCTGTACAATGTATGGTACACTACATACAGCATCCACAACTTGTACATGATGTGTGTGTAGTGACATTATACTATTGGTTTCTGGCTTGGGCCCATGGTGTACCACATTGATTATCAGTGTTTGTTTAGTGACACCTACATTGTACATGCATCCCTTCCTTGTCAGTTCTTATATGAAGAGATGAAAGGGTAGCACACTGATTCAATCTGATTAAGAAACATATGTTTCCTTCAACTTTGCACATAAGCACTCCCCCTCTCCCTTTCTTCCACCTACCCTCTGGCCGTCAAAACTTAATTAAGGGAACATAATTAGGTGTGAGACAGTGAGAGTGTTTTCATCTTCTTGTGATCGAATGTACACATATGCCTATTTTCGCACACACAGACCAATTATAGAATTATATTAAATTATGTTTTATTAATTAGATGATACTGCCACAGGCTCATCAATGCAAAGCAACACGGCCAACAATAGTAATGTGACTGATACAGAATCCACTCCTACTAATACTGCTACTAATACTGCTAGCATGACCCCGCCTGTGATAGGAGATGGAGCAAAGGGAAGGAATGAAAATGGAGGAGTAGGAGGAAATATAGGGGCCAGTGGAGGAAGAGGAGGAGGGAGGGGAGGTAGGGCTGGGAAGGGAAGAGGCGGATTAGTTGATAAAGGTGATGGTTTACCCTCGTACATGCTGACACCTGTATCTTCAATGGGAACTGCTACCATTACACTAGAGGGTGAGTTTATACCAGGGGGAGGGGGAGGAGCTAACCAAAGAACAGCAAAGTCGTCTTCTCCTACAACGGACATTGGGCATGTTACGCGTCCAACTCCGTCCGTACGTGTCACTAAATTGGATAATCGGCCGTTTGTACAGGTTGTTCCACCTCCTCAGTCTTCCTCTGCTGGAGTAGTAAAGAAGGGCTCATCTTCATCGTTGGATTCTAATACTGCAACTACCAGTCTTCCTGTGAGTATTTTATCATGTATGCAGTGTATACCGTTCTATTAGCCTTGTTTTAGGTGAAGTAATTTCACCTATCGTAACACTAGTTTGTAAAAAAATTCAGATAGCCAAGCTCAAAATTTTAAAACTTTTTATCATATTATAATGTTTAAATAACATTATTTTTATAGGCTCCACTGCAAGCACCACTCTCACTCCCATCCACGTCATCTCCCTCCACGTCATCAACAGCTGCAGCTTACACTAACCTCCTCACAGCGTCAGGCTCAGCTTCCCCAGCTGCTCTCCACATGGCTCTATTGATGCAGTCCCAGCAGCAGCTGAGGGCACTTACTGCTCAAGTTAATGCCGGAGGTCAGGGACTGTCTCCCCTCACTCTCCCACTACCTCCAGTTCCACCCTCTGCTCCTATCGCCTCTCCTCCTACTAGCTTACCCAGCACTGGCGGTATGACTGCAGGTGTTTCTACAGTACTAGCAACTCCATTGCCAAAGTCTCTCTCTACTGCTACTCCTCCTGTTTCTGGTGGACAGCAAGGAGGAAGGAAAGGAGGAGGAGGAGGAGGTGGTGGGACAAAAAGAGAAAGTACAGCATCTGCTGGGTCTAATTCCAAGAGGTATAGGATAGGTAGCAAGAAGTCAGAGTCTGAGAAGAACAAAAATTCATAATAAGGAACATCAACGGTGATGAGTTATCACCACCTGACATTTACATTTAACCATTTGTATTTAAGCTTTTGTTACTCTTTTTTGTAGCAATCATTGCATTTATGATTCATCAGTAGTAACCTTTCATGATTATTATTTCAATCATAATCAATGCAGCAAGCAAATTAAGGTGTGGCTCAGCAGCTCATGAATCTACTAAATTGCTTGGCAACTGGTTTGGTGTTGGAAGCAACATGGATGCCCTAATAGTGTCTCTTTTGCAATCCTGCGCTGAAGGCAATCCAGACTTGCTTGAGTCTTGCCTTCAATATGGACTGGACCTTAACTTTGTGACAGAAGACGGGCTCACTCCACTAATGTATGCGGTCACTTATGCAGGTATGCATCCCGGCTGCTGCAATGTGAACTTATCGTGCTCTTGTGTAGGTAACACACAAGGAGGTAGCTACTCCAGGATAGTCTATATGCTATTGGAGGCTGGATCCGATCCAAATATTCAAGACTCTCATTATGGACGTACTGCTGGTCACTATGCAGCTCACTGCAAGCAAAGTGACATACTAGAGCTGTTAATGGAATGTGGTAAGGTCACATACATGCAGGCAGGGTTTTCCACAAAGTGAGCTAAACATGAGTTATAACAAGTACTACAATACAGTACATGGCATTTGGAGCGACTTTACAAATTTATTAAAAAATTCAAACGGAATCAGCTAAAACTTTCTACACAACACATGTATCAGAAAAATTATAAAAATGAGGAAATCTTTCCTTTTCATTTTTGACGAAATTTGGCCACCTGTGGCCCAATTTTTGAGCAACTTTAAAGATTTATAAAAAATTCAAACTTGATTGGAATCAGTTCAAACTTCCTACACAGCATCAGTACATGTATACCAGAGAAAATTATAAAAATGGGGAACTCTCTCCTTTTCATTTTTGTCAAATTGTCTTTGGCCCAATTTTTGAGCAATTTGATAATCCACTCACAAGAAGTTGCATGAGCACTATGCCTACACATGCAAATCCTGTGGAAAACCCTGTGGGTTGCAGAAGCACTGAATAGTTTGTTCATGCTCTTGTTTTAGGATCTGATGTAACGATATGTGATATAGAAGGACAGTCAACATTTCACTTGGCCATTACAAATGGTCTTGAGAAGTGTGTAGAGCTGATGGTAGAAACAATACCAGCACTTGTCAACTATACTACACAGAGTGGAACCGCCCCACTTTATCTTGCTGCTAAAGCTGGAAGCTATAAAGTATACAGTACTCTAGTACATGTATTGCTATTATGCATGTTTAATGTATTCTATAGCTTTGTCAGAAGTTCCTTGCTTTTGAGTGTGACCCATACGTTATTGACCCACTGACCTTGCAGTCTCCATTACATGCAGCAGCTGAGCAAGGGCATGCCAGTATTGCAGGACTATTATTAAAGAAAGAACAATCTGTTCTTGATGCCACTGATGCTAGAGGTACATATTATAATGCACTAAATATCTTGATCATCAAAATTTTATTACTGTCTATATTCATATAGGACTAACTCCAGTTCATTTAGCCGCTAGTAATGTATCTTCATCATTGGTCCTTAGTGCAATATGTGATTTGGTTGGCAGTGATGTCCTTGAGTTAACTGATGCTTCTGGTCTCACTCCTCTCATGCACGCTTGTGCCAGCGGAAGTGAAACATGTGTGGAGTTCATTGTAAAGAAAAAAGTGAGAAATGAAATAGCATAAAATTGCATAGCAATAATTCTGGGGAAAAGCTCTTATGCATTCATTCATTCATTGTAGGCCAATTTAATGGCCAAAGACTCTTCAGAGGGAAAGACATGTCTCCATTGGGCGGCTGAGAGTGTCATTGCTTCATCTGACATAATCAGCCTGCTCTGTAAGAAAAGGAAAGGACTAGTAACAGAATTAGATGTTCATGGAAGAATACCGCTTCATTCAGCTGCCACCAGTGGTAATGTTGGAGCCATTAAGAGCCTGTTGGATCATGGATCTGATATCAGTGCAGTTGATAATGATCAATACACTCCTATGCACTGGGCAGTAGGTAAGCATTTATACCTTATACCATGTAGGAAGTTTGAGTCATTTCCAATTAATTTATTTGGGTTATAAATTTATTACCAAAAATGGCTACAGAAAATTTTTTAATCACATCAAGTAATTAGTGTTTTTGTTTTGCATTCTATTACTAATAAAACAAAATCCTATAATATGCTAAGTATTAAAACAAATTAATGGAGCCTTTTTCTGAATGAGTATTTACATTGAAGAAACATAATTGGAGCATTCGTCATTTTCATCGTAGAAAAAGTTGATGATTTAGGTTTTTGTTCTCTTAATAAAAGCAAAGATAGTGCTACTACCTTTAACAATAGCATCTCTGATGTCCCTTCTAAAGAATGACTGGACCAATGGGATGAGAGTAGTCAAAAGTAAAAGAATCACAATAGCTCCAGCATATGCTGTTGTTGATAGAGCATTAGTGAATACTTCAATCACAGCAAAAGAAACAATAGGTGCATAGCACAATATGTGTACTATTATCAGCATACCAAACAATCCAATCACTCTCCTCTCTTGTGCTGCATATGGATTATCAGGACTCAATACTTGTGTGCCAGTATTCTAAGAA